GCTTCAGTGATGCTATCTAACCACCTCATCCTCTGCCGTCCCCTTCTCCTTTTGCCTTCAATCTTTCCCAGCAACCATCCTCCTTGGCTGCCCACATTTCCCAGTCTTCAAATGCCCAATGGAAAAGATTCCTTCTTGATATTTTTCTTTGTATTTAATGATCTTGTGGGAAGCTACCAAGACTGTAAAGCATTCAAGAGATTATTATTCAGTGGAAAACAACACACTCAGTGTGTTGCGTGAAATCAAGAACGTGAAAAGTCACTGCTCTGGGCAGCCATGGTTACTTGTGAGTAAAATGCCATATTGGCCCAAACAACACAACATACACACAAGATCACTTCATGCTGAGGAAATAGTTTCCAAATATTTTATTGAAAATCATAGCAACAAAGTCATGATATTTTACAAGTAATAAGCACATAATTCTATTGTATTTGGCATGCAAGACTGAGGCATTAGAAATAGGAACACACAATGCCTACTTGAGAAATATGACAAACTTTATCAAAGTGTTATTAAGTTGCTTTCAAAATTTGTATAGTTATACCCCCCATATGAGATTCTACAGAAGTTTGAATAAGTCTCAAATTTAACTTCACTATCTATAGAAGCTTGCAAATTTACTCAACTGCTTATCATAGTGACATTCTTTGATTTCTGAAATTATCTAGATCTCCCCTGATCTGCCACAGTAAAAATCTCCCAGTTCATGCTAAGATTTGTTTTACACGTATCAAACTGAACATGCCACAAAACATCACAGAACATCCTCACCTCCCAGCAGGCATCTTCTCGTGCAGCATTTCAGGCAGACAGGTCTTTTTACAAAGCAGGCCATTTCATTGCCATCTAGTTTTTTATTTTTTCCCCCCGATTTCAACATTTCATGGGTAATGAAGATGTTCTCAATTCTTACCAACCTGGGATCTGGGCAGAAGTAAGATTTCCCCTCTCCCCCCTTTTTTTCTTTTTGTTAAAACTTCTGAGTTTTTCCAGACTTGCTTATATCTTTCCCCCTTGTTTCTCAGTGGTCTCACAGAGGCTCCAGTCCTCTTGGCACTCATCTCCAATTCACTTATCAGAAAAAGTTATTTCTTGGGAAATCTACTATTCAGTTTCTAATGTGATGACAAATACACGATCATGTCATTTCTTAGAATGCTAACGGTGGAAGTATGTACTTTAATTCATTCTAGATTTCATTAACAAGTGTTGATCCACAGTATCTGCCACTGAACTACAGCAAAGAGCTGGAGAGATCTCAGTGGCAGGCAGCATTGCTCTGAGTGCAGAACAGACCTTCTGAATCTAGAGCCTATCCTATCACTCCCAGCCAGTATTGCCCATGGCAGCTAGGGATTTTGGGAACAATAGTCCTGTATCTTGAGGTAATCAAAACTGGGGAGCAACAGCACTAAAGGTTTCAAGTCCTTGTTTACCAGTGAATACTGCAGTTTGATTCAATGTCATGCGTTACTTCCTGAAAGTACAATACAATCTGACAGGCTACTATGGGAACCCAATTTGGATCTATGGTACCCTATGGCACATTATAGGCAACTATTTTCTTTAATAAGGATTCATTTTTTTAAAAATCAGACAGTAAAAAATAAATCTTCATACTAAGCTAATCCTAAACATAGTAAGCATTCAATTGCCTTTTTCAATACGTTGAAGCAGGGTTTGCATGAACAAGTGCCTTTCTTCTCCATAGCCACTGAGGAACATCAGGTATCTAAAGAAAATAGTTTTTTAAAAATGACACACACACACATATATATGCATACATATAGTTAGGTGTCTGAATATTACTATACCTTCCTAGCCTTAATAATTGGCTAAAAAGTAGCTACTGCATTGTGGTATTTGACTATCAAGGTCTTCTGAAATATTACATTTTGTCTTCTACTGCATTTGCTCGTTTTGTTTGGTTTTGTTTGGTTTTTACATGTATATTTGATACATGAGGTCTCTGCTTCCTCATCAAAGTCATTCCAGAAAATATTTACTTCTCAAGCTGAGAATATGAAGCACCCCCAAAATTAGTTATCTCCTTTCTGGCTAATATGAGTCTACTTGAATGCTATTATTATATATAAAACTTTTCTTGATTGTTTCAAACTTCATGGCTGTTGTCAAAAGATCTGTGCAAAAGAATTCCAGGGTAAAATGTTGCTGAACATTTGATTGCTGGAATAGATAGCTATTAAAATGCTGATATCTATTTATATAGCACCATAATATATTGTACTATACAAACATATACACTGGGAACTTTGCCCATAAGGGCTTGAATACTATTTCATCTCCAGAGAAAACTAGAAAGCATTTCTTCATGCCTGTGAAGCAATGTGAAACTTGTTCCACACTATGGAAGGAGCCATTTTTCTAATAACCTGAAACCCCAGTGGGGACTTTGCAGACTTTGTTAAATGTCTATAAAGAAAAGCAAAGTTGTCAGCAAGTGTGCCCCAAAGAGGGAGTTTCAGCCAACCACAGATCCACAGCATGAGTACCAACACAATACACCTTTTAAAATCCCTGTTCATTTCATTTCATTTCATTTCATTTCATTTCATTCAGAATTCAAATCTGTCTCGGTACACTAATAAAAAGTTTTAACTAAATGTGTAGCAAAACATATGAGTTGCCCTTCTAAAAAGATGGTGAGTGTAGTTGATTTGATTCTATGGGCCTTCTGTCTGAACCTCATCCTCTCTGAAATCTGTGATTTCAAAACTGACTGTCTCAGGGACCTGGGACAATGAATATGCTACCCTTGGACTCAGAGTTGCAAGTAGGAAAGAAATAACCTTTATCATTTTGTACAGATTGGAAAAAAGAAATATCCCAAAGTCTGTTTCAAGAAGGAAGACTAGCCTTGCTGAATTATATTTAAAAAAAAATTGGAAAGGCACCTTCCTTGTTCTAGGAAAGCAAGTCAGATGATTCCAAAGTGCTTTAAACACCACCACCACCCCCCACACACACAATTGTCTGTTTCCTGATATTGCTCAGAATAGTCTTCTCCAACTTGATACCCTTCAATTGTGTGAGGAGTACAATTCACAGAATTCCCACCCAGCACAGCCAATTCCAGGAGCTGTAGTGCCAGCAAATCTGGAGGTTACAAATTTGAGCAAGGTTGCTTTGGAAACTGACCAGATAGATAGATATAGATAGATAGATAGATAGATAGATAGATAGATAGATAGATAGATAGATAGATAGATAGATAGATAGAGTCTAGTCTTTTAGAGTCTTGCAATCTTTGTTTGGGAAAAGTGTTAAAAAGCAGCAATTTCATGTGGGATTTGGTGTTGGAGAATAGAAAGAGAAGTGTGCACTTGAAGAGCTGCTAAACAGTAAAAGCAACTTGGTAATTATGTGATGTATTCATGCAGTTAAAACCTGGCTGTTTAATTTAGGAATCTGTTCTCACTCAGAGTTTATTCTGCTTGTAAACTGACCACAGATTCCAGAGCTTCCCAAGCTCTTTATTCATACATAGAAACAAAACCTGGAAAGTGGCTGTCTTTGAAGATCCTACTGCTGGGGTAAGAGAATCAGCTGTTCTTGTAAATATTTTGTTTCCTGACTCTGAATTTTTTCAGTCTTTTAATATGTGAAGATACAAAGGATAATATCTCAGAGCAATAAGACTGGTCTGAAAGCATCCTCATGGAGTTCAGTGTAAATATAAATGTCTTTCTAAAGATGAGCTGTGAAACTGGGGGGGAAAAGCAAAGTACTGTAAGTCTGAAATTTAAAAAAACCAACAATCTGCATTAAACTGACTGGTTATTTTCCCACCAAAAAAATCTTTTCCCTAATTTTATTTTATTTTATTTTATTCAAACTGAGGTGGTAGCTAAGCTCAGATGGGTAGCTGTTATAATTTATTGTAGGAAAATACAGAATCTTTGGGCACCTTAAAGACTAATATTCATTTTGATCTACATTTTTTCATGGACTGAAGCTTATAAAGTGCTTGAGGAAAACAAGGAAACAGATAAAAGTAGAAAGTTATGTGAAACTTTTGGAAGTAATAAAACAAAGTCTGGAGCTTTGGGAAAGGGCAAGACTGAGAAATGAACCAGTTGCTATTAATTCATTCATGTACATGTCTATAATTGAAACTGCAGAGTGGGCTTGCAGGTTAGCTAAATAATTTACTAGATTGTTTTTACGTAACATTTGTCTTTACTCAAGCTGTTTGAAAGATGCCTCAAACATTCTGCTGGTTCAAGTGTCTTAGCTCCCAGCATGCCAGTTCCATACTCCAATCACTCTTCAAGGCACACCTCATTCAGGCAGGGTTGATAGCTATTTCCTGATGATTACTGTAAAAGTCAGTGGCAAAACTAAAAACTGAAACCAAAGGACCATGAACCCCTTCATCCCATTTTCTACATTGTACTGCATGACCAGATGATATACAACAATGAATGCTCATTTTAAAAAAGCTTACCAAGTTCAGGATCCCAACTTATTGAAAAACTCTATGATTTTTGCATGCCCTGCAGCCTTGGCCTATAAGAAAAAATTGCAACACTAGTAAGCATCATCACGTGCACATGTATATCTTCCATACACATCAGTATGACTTGCTCTTATAAGCATCATCCTATGCTTTACAGCAGGGTTCCTCAACCGTGGTGACTTGAAGATGTGTGGACTTCAACTCCCAGAATTCCCCAGCCAGCCATGCTGGCTG